GCGATTGAAAAGAAGATAAAGAAATTAAAAATGAAAGGTACCAAACAAGGGAGTAAAAGTCATGGTTAAAAATTCAAGTGCACCATATTTTTTTCCCTGGTTTGACCTCCATTTTGTGAAAATGAAAATGAGTGGAATAGTATCTTTTTGAAAAATGAATGGTTGAAAAAAAAAAGTTTTCGATTTACGTGTAATATTATTTTATGGAAGATTGTATGGTTGAAAATAAGAAAGAGAAAAATAAAATATAATGGAATGAAAATTAATGTGGACCAAACAGGTGCAAATATTGGCTATTAAATTTTAAAAGTTTTCGAATGTTCACCTAACTTATGAAATCATTATACACTTGACCATTAAATTTTTAAAGTTTTTTGGATGGTATTCAAATTTATCAAATCATTATCTCATTCATCATTCAAATTTTTTTTAATGTTAAATGACCAATGGAACAATGGTTTGATAAGTTTGACGACCATCCGAAAAAAAATTTAATGTTTAGTGGCAAGTACGATAACGATTTGAAAACTTTTACGACCATTCAATTTTTTTTTTTAAGTTTAATGGTCAATAAAAAATATTGTAATAAGTTTAAGGACCATTTGAAATTTTCACCCGTAAAACACGTTTATCCCTCCCTATTATTTTTGAAAATACATTTTTCTCTCTCTTAGCCCTTGTTTGAGCACCAATCTTTTGAAAAATGTATTTTTTAACAGTGTTTTAATATCATTTCAACAACACATTTTTCAATAAAATAATATTACACGTAAATTCAAAGCATTTTCTTATTTTTTAACCACACATTTTTCATCAATACACTATTCAAAAATTCATTCTATCCCAAAAAATAGGCTCAAACAAGGGCTTACTTTCAACCACACATTTCAATAAAATAATATTACATTCAAACGTAAAATTTCCCCCCTTTTTTTAACCATATTTTCCATCAAAATACTTTTGAACAAAATATGAGACTAAAAAAGGCGCTTATATAGACCAGCAGCTCACATGGGGTGAAGGCTAGAAGAGGCTTAAAGTGATACTTCAACCTTATTCTTAAGAAAATAAAATACTTTTTGTCACAACATCTCATTTGTTGTTGTGATCTTTTTGAACCAACAACAAAATAGAATCTCCTACAACAAAGTAAAGATGGGAGAGAATATGATTTCTATATTTTTTCTGGGCAAAGAAATTATAATTTTTTTGAATATTACTTTCTTGTAAATGCAAGTCTTTCTAAAAATAAAAAAGATTGTTGATAATAAGATATATCACAACTAATTTAGCTCGTATTTGTCAATTATTATTTGAGAAAAACAATGTTTTGAATAACAATTTTAGGAGAATGCATGAAGGAAAAATTTTAAGTTTACGTGTAGAATATTTTTATTGTGTGAATGTATAATAAAAAATGAGTATGTAAAGAGAGAGAGAGAGAGATTTCAAACAATGATTTGTCAACCAAGGGCTTAATGTGCAATCTTTTATGCGACTAAAAATGTTTAAAACGATTTGTGTTGTCTCCATCTATGTCGATGGAAACGTGGCCTGACACATATCTCCATTCAAGTGTAAAAAAATTTCTTCAAAAATCAATATTTTCAACTTTGTGGATGAACTTGATTACTACACACTAGTCCAAATCAACTAAATATTAAAAATGATTAACTAAATTTATTTAAATCATTTAAAACATAAAGATAGATTTCCTTATATATTTCATTTTAGTGAAGATCAATTTTCTAAATTCAAAATTAGCATTATGGGCATTATGGTAATTTCACAGGCAACAAATATCAAGTGGAAACTGTCTCTTTTGTCCTTCATTGACGTTTACAAAAATACAACAAAAGTAAAATAAGGCAAATGGTTTTGTCTGAAGCCCAATTACAGCAGCCATCCTCACTATTAACCCCAAACCCCAATATGCCAACACAGACACAAATTCATATATATTCCAAGAAAATATATAAGCATACATTCCAAGAAAGTATCATTTTCAGAAAGGAGTAGAGCGAAACCAATTCCCATTTGTAGGGTTCTCTTCAAGCTTAATTTGAAAAAAAAAAAAAAAAAACAACTCCAGACCCAGCTTCCCATTATTGAAAAAGAGAAAAAAATCGACAAAATCTTATCTACAAAGAAGAGACCCGAATGCTGGTTCGATTATGAAGTTGAATCCGACGATCAAGGTTTGAATTGAAGATCTTCGCATTGATACTATATAGGTTAGTTTCGATTTTCTACGATCCCATTAGATTTCAATTATCTGCTCTGGGTGCTTTATTTGATTTTTAGCTCAATATTTTCATTTCTATCCTATTTCTTGCGTTTTGGGTTTAATTTGTAACTGTGTTTGAAGACATTGATTTGAACTTGCTGGTTGGATAGGAATTTGGTTGTTACATAACCAGATCTGGCTGAAATTCGATTTGAGTTTTTTGGATGATAGATTTTTCATTTTTGTTTTAGTTCAATCTTGGATAAATTTCTCAATATATAAGATTTTGAGTGAGATCTGTTGTCTACTATTATCGCTTAATTTCAACATTGTTTTATTTTTTTATTTTTTAAGTTCTCTTATATACTCATGGGAGAAACACATTTCTTGTTTTTGAGTTCCTTTATTAGTTTTATCTATGTAATTTAGGTTTTTGATTTAGTATTTCCGTGATAAAAATTAATTGTCATTTGATAAATTTTGAAAATTAGGAAATGAGGGAATATTTTTAGAGAAAAAGAAAAATGAAGTCAGACACTCCTCTGGATTATGCTCTCTTCCTGCTTTCACCTAGACGATCGCGGTAAGCACATTTAAGTGATATCACTTGTTGTATTTTGCCATCATTTTGTTATTAACTCTGGATGCTTTTGGGGACAGATGTGAATTATTTGTTTCCAGCAATGGAAACACTGAGAAATTAGCAGCGGGACTGGTTAAACCATTTGTAGCACATTTAAAGGCTGTGGAGGAACAAGTTGCATCTGACGCTCAATCAGTGAAGCTTGAAGCGGGAAGGCAAAAGAGTTCGGAAATATGGTTCACGAAGGGAACACTTGAGAGGTAGTGCGTCTTGCAACTTACTGATTTATTTATATTGATAAACCCATATATCAATGTAATTGGAAACTTCTATTATTCAGGTTTGTTCGGTTTGTAAGTACACCTGATGTTTTGGAACTGGTCAATACCTATGATGCTGAGACGTCTCAGTTAGAAGCAGCCCGAAAAATATATGCGGAGGTAGTTATTTTTGTTTCATCTGTAGATGTTCATTTGGTTTTACTTTGACTGCAATGTGTACTAATTTGCTCTCCATCTTTCATCAATTTCAGGACAGAGGTGATCAGCTTTCTGGTATGCGCTTGTGTATTTTTAATTGGTTTATTTATCTAACTTCTGTTCTTCATTGATTTCCCATGTAATCTGAAATAGAAAAGGAAACAGTATCTCACCTTCAAATAGTTACTTGTTCTTAATAAAGTTTTCTCTACAATATTTCTTTTCTTGTTTTGTTAAGGTTCATTTTTTAAATATCCATTACTTATTTTAGTAATTGCTGTCTAAAATCAGCAATCTTTCAAGTCAATCAGAGAA